GCGGGGGGCTCCGCCATTGGAGAGGACTGAGGTGGCTGGCAGCGGTCCCCGCTGTGAGGGCGGGTCCCACTAGGGCGGTATTTCATGAGGAGGCTGGTTGCACTTGTAGGATTTTGCCCCCAAAACTGGGATCCGTTGGTTTGGGTGGTTTTTTTATTATTATTTTATTTGGATACCTTACTTAAATTTTTATTTTGACTAATATGTGGGCAAACTACAATCAAAGTTGCGGATATTTCCCCCTCTCCCCTCATTCTGCACCATCACTTTGTGGCATTCAAGTGTTCTGCATGAAACCTCATGCCCATCCCACCATCTTTAACTTCCTGCAGGTTATGTACGTGCAAGAGGACAGTAGTTCCTCATTTTTAGAGTGATTCTTTGCTTTAAATAAAAAAAAAAAAAGTCTTAAATGAGGCGGTGCATTACCGTAATTTAAACCAACTTTCTGCATAATGAATTAACTCTTTGTTTAAATCATGTCAGTTTTACGAAATATTCAAGTGTGGGTAATCTTTTGCACCACTTAATCCAGAATTCTAAGTATTAATAAAAATTCCTGTTGCCGCGTATCTTTCTAAGTTGTGCATATCAAATAAGTCAGAATTAAACAGTTCCAAAACTTTTTTCCTGCAATTTCCATAGTTGACGAAAGGGTTGAGTTTTACTTGCAGTAACAAACTGGAGAGAATCTGCAGAAGTTACCGTGTCTCTTGTAACAATATGATTTATTACAGGCTTTATTTGCTCTTCTTATGGAGTACACCATTCTTGCATGAGGCAGAATCTTGCGTGTGTCTTTACTTCTGTCAGAATTTCCTAAAAGACAAAAAGGCCAACCTTAAATATCCTGTATAAAGCCACAAAGAGGAGTCCTGTGCTCTTTCCAGAATAGAAATAAAAAGACTTAACTTCTGTATGCTGTAATTAAGTATGCTCCTTCATTTATTTTTGCAGTGATAAGCATATATAAAACTGTATTTTATTGTACCAAATAAGCAAATAAAAAAATATTTGAGAGACAAAGCCTTCATTCTCTCTGAATGTGTCATTGCATTTTAGAGTACCTGTCATCCCTTCATGGTTGGGTTGCTTCATGGTTCACAGTGCTGATGTCTGTGCAAACTTGTTACCAGCAAAGTACTCAGATTTTTTTTCCTTTAAATTATAGACTCTAACTATTGCAAAATAAGTGCTTTTATTTATTTATTTATTTGATTACCCAGTAAAATCATATCACAGAACAAGTCCTTAAAATGGTGATTTATGCAACATTGACATTGCTAGTAATTTTACTTTCATTAAGCCTATTTTATGGCTCATGACCAGAGGATTCTAAGACTCCAGCATTTACTTATCTCATTCAGACATATTTTTAAACCAGCTGCTGCGTGTGCACAAGGTAGCACAAGAAGTCAGCTTCATATTTTATAACCACTTAAATTTGCCACTGGTGCTGACCTGTTTTTGTCCGGTTCTTTCTTTTCATAACAGCGTATATGATAGAGACTCAGTGGCTTAAATATAATTGATACTGACATCTGTCTGTGCGCTGACAGTGAAAAGTCTCCACCACAGAATTACCACAGTGACACCACTTGATAGGACTATCAGGATGAGGGCTAAGGACTCAGTGACTGCAGGGACTGATCTACCTTTACCTCATAGTGGCATCTTTGTTGGAAAGTTTGGGCTCGTATGGTCTGTGAAGGATCTTTGTCCTTTAAAACTGGCTCTTTGGCATGCTTGGCAATAGTTTTCTTGTAGATAAAATTGCTAAAATGGTACGACTTTCTATAAGACTTGTCATCTGCGTTTGTGGCTTTTTTTTTTTTTTTTTTTTTTTAAATTTCATGAATATATAAAACCTAAGAATTATCTTGAAGGGTTCTGGGTGTTTTTTTTCTTTCTGACTGTTTCATTCAGCTGCTCTTTTGAGAGGATGAAAGCTTACAGTTACCTGCTATTGTGATTTCTGTTTCTACCAACAAAACAAAAAAGTGCTGGAGTAGCTTCTAGAATCAGAAACAAAATCAGTGCTGTTTTGTATATTTTACATCTTTTCTTTTAGAAAGAGGGTGATGCTAAAGAAACATCTACATGTAGGTTACTTCTCATAACAAGTGATCAGTTAAATCTGCTGCCATCTAAGTGTGTTGTCTCTGAAATTCTCTATAATCATTGCTTTATATGTCAAAATTCTGTATGTGACTTTTAAGTTCTGTTATTTACGTGATCTGTTTAAGGTACTTTGGAAAACATCCAAGTGCTTTCCAAATATGACTCCTTACTAAGCTCTTTGGCTGTGTGTTAGTCTAATATGAAAGTCCTGATTAATGCCTGCAGTTTTCTCCCAGCATATGCTAAAACCGTACTTTGAATTTTTGCTGTGTTCCCTGGTGCTGTATGTAAAATTCATGTGGAAAAAGAAAAAAACAAAACCAAAAAAACCCCAACCCCTAAATGTAACACTTTTTTCCCAATTAGAGGAGATGCTTTTTTTAAAAAATGTTCACTGCTGTCCTTGTATGCTTTGTTCTGGTGTTCAGCTTGAAGCTGAAGAAACAAGGTTTCTTGGCCCTGATAATCTCAGCTAATCAGGAATTATGAGTGCCTTAGGACAACTCAAAAGTCAGGTCTCCAGGATGAGAGCTGAAGGATATCCAGGTGTCCTGCTTCTTGGCTCCAAAGTATTATTGACGGCCCTTAGCTGGGTGCTCTGGGTTGGCTCCTATATAATGGAAGTCAGGTGTGCAAAACAAATAGGCAGAGCAAGAGGAGACTGAAGTTGAGCAGGAGAAAGTTTGGGGGAACAAACAAGCGTATTCAAATATAAGTAAATTTAAATTAAAATGTCCCTCTGTTGCTTAGGCTGTTTATTCTGAGATGGTGGGAGGCTTTTGTTTGCATTGGAGGGATCAGCAGTATGAATCCCTCCTGGAATCAGATAGCTCAAAGGAGTAGTAGATAGTGCCTGCTGCTGTTGAATTGTTTTTGGTGTGTTTTGCACATCTGCTTCTCCCCCAGGGTTTTGAGGATGCAGATATGAATACATAAATTTTGTCAAATAAAACATTTAGTACTTGACTGTAACGGTGTGGTAAACATTTTCGATAGTAACTTACGGAGTGCTGCAGTTAATGTAGATGAAGCTTTAGTAAATGGTGCAGTGAGACTTACTAATAACATTTTCTTTTCTAGGCTTAAGTAGCCAAAAATGAGTCGTGGATTGTCAGAAAACAATAACTTCCCATATGACAACAATCAAATGGTTTTGGATATGATCCTGTGTTCCCTAATAAATTTCATGAATATATAAAACCTAAGAATTATCTTGAAGGGTTCTGGGTGTTTTTTTTCTTTCTGACTGTTTCATTCAGCTGCTCTTTTGAGAGGATGAAAGCTTACAGTTACCTGCTATTGTGATTTCTGTTTCTACCAACAAAACAAAAAAGTGCTGGAGTAGCTTCTAGAATCAGAAACAAAATCAGTGCTGTTTTGTATATTTTACATCTTTTCTTTTAGAAAGAGGGTGATGCTAAAGAAACATCTACATGTAGGTTACTTCTCATAACAAGTGATCAGTTAAATCTGCTGCCATCTAAGTGTGTTGTCTCTGAAATTCTCTATAATCATTGCTTTATATGTCAAAATTCTGTATGTGACTTTTAAGTTCTGTTATTTACGTGATCTGTTTAAGGTACTTTGGAAAACATCCAAGTGCTTTCCAAATATGACTCCTTACTAAGCTCTTTGGCTGTGTGTTAGTCTAATATGAAAGTCCTGATTAATGCCTGCAGTTTTCTCCCAGCATATGCTAAAACCGTACTTTGAATTTTTGCTGTGTTCCCTGGTGCTGTATGTAAAATTCATGTGGAAAAAGAAAAAAACAAAACCAAAAAAACCCCAACCCCTAAATGTAACACTTTTTTCCCAATTAGAGGAGATGCTTTTTTTAAAAAATGTTCACTGCTGTCCTTGTATGCTTTGTTCTGGTGTTCAGCTTGAAGCTGAAGAAACAAGGTTTCTTGGCCCTGATAATCTCAGCTAATCAGGAATTATGAGTGCCTTAGGACAACTCAAAAGTCAGGTCTCCAGGATGAGAGCTGAAGGATATCCAGGTGTCCTGCTTCTTGGCTCCAAAGTATTATTGACGGCCCTTAGCTGGGTGCTCTGGGTTGGCTCCTATATAATGGAAGTCAGGTGTGCAAAACAAATAGGCAGAGCAAGAGGAGACTGAAGTTGAGCAGGAGAAAGTTTGGGGGAACAAACAAGCGTATTCAAATATAAGTAAATTTAAATTAAAATGTCCCTCTGTTGCTTAGGCTGTTTATTCTGAGATGGTGGGAGGCTTTTGTTTGCATTGGAGGGATCAGCAGTATGAATCCCTCCTGGAATCAGATAGCTCAAAGGAGTAGTAGATAGTGCCTGCTGCTGTTGAATTGTTTTTGGTGTGTTTTGCACATCTGCTTCTCCCCCAGGGTTTTGAGGATGCAGATATGAATACATAAATTTTGTCAAATAAAACATTTAGTACTTGACTGTAACGGTGTGGTAAACATTTTCGATAGTAACTTACGGAGTGCTGCAGTTAATGTAGATGAAGCTTTAGTAAATGGTGCAGTGAGACTTACTAATAACATTTTCTTTTCTAGGCTTAAGTAGCCAAAAATGAGTCGTGGATTGTCAGAAAACAATAACTTCCCATATGACAACAATCAAATGGTTTTGGATATGATCCTGTGTTCCCTAATCGGTGTTCCTCAGCCTATCAACTGGGACAGTGTGGCAAGGCTAGTTCCAGGATATACATCCAAAGAGGTGAATTTACTAATAAAAGAATTCATATACTTTAAGCAGTACTTTATGAAGAAGAAAACATCTTTGGGGGAGGGAGGGGAATTCAAGGTAAAGGATTTTTTTTTTCCTGAAGTAATTTATACCTAAAGAATCAAAAATGTTAAATGAGCAGTAGATTGTTTGTTTCTACAAAACCTGAACATCAAAATTAGGAAATACATTCTGTGTTTTATTTCATTAGAACTGATAGAGAATAACAACAAAAATTAGTGGAAAGTAAAAATTAAGAAGTGGAATAAAAAAAAGTAGTTGTGCTAACATATTTCAAATTACATAGCTAAGATTTTTGGGGAGAGGATGGCACTATCTACTAATCTCATGTAGATTGTAGTATACCTACTAGCAAACCTGATAACTTCTTACGCTTGTCATTACAATTCTGAGGAAGTAAGAGTTACAGATCTCCATTAGGTAGTTAAGAGTGTGGTTGCCTCTTGCTCGGCCCTACAAGATGGGGATTTTTCTTTCTCTTTGGTTGGAATAGAGTTGGAAGAACCTAGTACTGCCGGATACTTAATATTTCTGGATTGCTGAACTTCCTGGTGAAATGCTTACTTTTTTTTTAAATACTAATTTTGAAATTTTTGGTTCTGAGAGGGAAGTAAGCTAAAAGAGGAAAACATCTTTTGCCCTTGTGATTCAGCAAAGCTGGAGAAAAACCCAAGCCAGCTGTCTTTATTTTCTTGCAAACTTAATCAAATGTGTCAGCTCACATTTATAGCATTGCTATTGGGCATCACTGTAACCTTGTATTTCGAACATAGAAGTGAATGATTGGGAGTAGAGGCTTCTGTGGAATGTTACTGCCTTTCAAGTGCTTGGCAAAGCGCTCGTGGGGGGAGGTCTCTACTGTTTACCTTTCAATTTGCGGACAGGACTGTGCACGTTAAATAAAATAATTATAAAAGTATTGGTGAGCTCTTGCCTCGTATTAATGAAGAGAATATGATTGATTAGTACATGCCTGGTTACTCTGTTTTAAAAGAACAAAGTTTCTCAAATACTTGCAGACCCTGTTTAAGGCAATTAAGTAAATGTATATTTGTGCTTTTATGTATCTGTTGTATAGAGTAGACTGGCATCCTTATAAATTTAAAACACTACATTAATATCAAAGGGATGTCACTGTGTCCACCTCTCCCAAAGGGGCAGGTGGCATGCGGCAGTGTCAGTTAGCTCAATCCAAAATAAATTAAAACAGCTGCTTGAATGGAGCCTGACAAGCTGTGTCACAGGAGGATCACCTGTAAAATTAAGTAGATTTACTTCTATGTGTAAACTAGCTGTGTGTAGGATTCTGCTGAACCAAACCTGTAGTTGTTGTATCAGTACAAATTCACAAAATGGAAAAACTCAAAATTGTTCATTACAAAATGTACAAAGTTCATCAAAACACAGAATGGAAAGTTAAGAGAACTGCGTTGGAAATCACCAGTCCCTTTCGTCCAAATCAGAATGGAAGTCATAAAGTAAAAATAATTATTACGAACCGATTACTTTAGCTACTTTTAATAATATTTGACAGTGTTTATGGTAAAAGAACTAGTTACAGAAAGCGAATTTAAACTCTCCCCGTAACTTTCCTTTTGAAGATCAGGCTTAAAATCACAGAGTTTAAGGAAACAAAGGTTGAAACAGTTTCCATCTTATTTTTTTTCTCTTTCTGTTAGTGTTTAATTATTGTAAGTGTTACTACTTTACAGTAAACTTATGTACTTTCTTGATACCACTAAGTAAATAGGAAGCATTAGAAGTTTAATATCAGTAACTGTTCACATCCAAAAGCTGTCATGAAATACAATATCAGTCTCAAATTATAGTTATTAAAAATGTACTGCAAACTACTGCTTCATTGTCCTATCATTTAATCTTGTGACAGTGTGCAAAAAGGTTTGATGAACTAAAAAGCAGTGGAAGTTCACCTGTTGACAACCAGTATAATCCCCTGATGGCCGCTGGTGGGAGTCCTGTGGAAACTTTAGCTACATACATCAAATCCTCCTTGCTTGATCCACAGACAGAGTTTCAGGAGCCTGCTATTGGGCAGGATTCCATTTCTATAACTGGTATGTTTTTAGTCATTCTGAAATATATTGGCTTTGATTATAATCAGTGTGTGCATGCTTTTCTGTCCTGAGTGGTAAGTCCACCCAGGAGTAGTACTTGTTTGTCTTTAAAAAAGAAAGTTAAGTATAAATATAATGCATATGTTAAGTCACTTTCAGTGACTTAACAGTTTAGATTAAGAATCAATGTTTGTTTAGGTATTTTTACTAGCTTGTCCTTCGAAAAGGCATAAATCCTTAGGCTAATTCCTCTGATAAGGATTTTTGGTGGGGAGAAGAATTAAACTCCTGCTTTGTATCCCTCATGTACTGCTAAACGTCCAGCCACTTGCAATCACGTTAAGCTGTGTTACTAAAATAACTAGAAAGTTTTGTGTAGAAAAACTGCAGAAAGCTGAGGAGGTGATCCCTTGAGGTCAGACCCTTCTCTCCCAGCAAAAAGCCCCGTGTTTGCCATGCTGCTTGGTGGCAAGATGGCTACATAGGATAGTAGCTACTTTTTGATGCAAGACAGTCTTGCAATGACATAAAATGTGTCTTAATTATGTGTCCCAGTAGTAGTTTGGCAGAAGAGGACTGGTCCTAATAGTTGTATTCCAATCACAGCACAATTAAATATTGTTAACATCTCCTTAATTACAACTTCTTACAGGAGAAGTACTTATCTGTGTGATAGTTATTCTCGGGTTTTTGTTGTAGACTGAGATGTTTTCAGCACCTTGTAGGACTTGGTAAAAGTGTTGCATGAGAAATTTGCTTCAGTAATGAGTAAACAATTTCTGTGTTAAAAATTAAGACAACAGTGAAGTGTTTAAACAAAATGTTTTCTGTATGATATCCTTCACAGTGCTGCAGCTTTCTGGTCACTGTAGTCTTTGAGGAAAACCAGCTGTTTGACCTTTGCTGGAGAAAGGATAAAATATTTTTAATAACTCTAATCAAGAGATGATGTTTGAAAACTGTATATGGAGTATCTAGACTGAAAATGCTTGCAATCAACTTTCAATTATATGCTCATTACATGCATGATGTGGAATAAATGCTTCTTGCACCCACAGGTGGCTACTTATAAGATTAGTACCTTCCCAGTAGGCAGTTAACAAGCTAGCTCTGCTTACAGAACTCCTTAGACAATTAGTGCATGTTTTCTTTTTAACAATGTAATACATGTAATAAGTATTAATGCAGTTAAGTACCCTAACATTTCCTGCTACAAGATCCTAGCCTGAGATTTTTCTGTTTTCTTTGTGACTTTGGATAAATAAATTTCCCTGTTTATGTCTAATTTGTTGATATGAAATTAGGATAATTTTTTTCTCACAGGCTTGAAGTGAACTCACCTGCTTAATATTTTTGAGGTACCTGTATATTTCAGGATTGGGGATTGGAGAAAAGCCTATTTGTAAATGTTTTTTGTTTACTTCCTAGTGGATTTATTCACATCTGCTTATTGTTAGGATCAAGAATTTTGGGCCTGTTTGGATTTGTTTGTAGACAGCAGTAACAGCAAGAAAAAGCAATCGGACCAAATTTATTTTGAGCTGGATTCTGGTTTTGGCTGAGTTACGAAAGCTCATTTATGATTTGCTTATTATAAGGCAAACTGCTGTTAAGTCCCTCTGAATGCATGTTATGGCAGTAAACAAGCATGTAGCATAGCCTTTTACCCAAAGTATTTATTACTAACTTTCAGAAGTCAAACAATCTATAAGCTTTGGAGAGAATAAAAAGAAAAAGAGGAAGAAATGTATGGTGAAGTTCAGACATCCCCATTAATTTGTCTGTGTTGCATATTCTTGTCAGCATTATTTCCTTTAATAAATAACTTCACTGTGTTCAAAAACAACTTCTTAGTATTTGCAGACAGAACTCTTCCATGTCATTTTTTTCCACAGGCCCTTCCTTTAAAATACTTGCCTTACCTTCCATTCCAAATCTAGGACTCCCACTGTGGCCATTTTAATGCTAGCTTGGGTCACCCGCCTGCAGTGGAACGGCTGCCCTGAAGGCTGTGTCTGACCCAGCCCCTTCCAAGGTTTTACTGGGGTCTGCCCAGTAAATCTTCCCCTTTTATTAAGTGTGTTCCCTCTATATGGCCTTACTAAGGCTTAACTGTACAAGGCCCTGGGCTATGTCTTTAGAGAAAGCTTTTTCTTCTGCCTCTGGTTGGATAACTTTGCTTTCCTGAAGGGCATAACTGCTGTGTTCTGAACTGTATAGAGCTTCCAGGTCATCTTTTGTGTCAGTCTGCTATAGTTATTTAGCCGTAAGATGAAGAGCTCATAGAATCATGGAATCGTTTAGGTTGGAAAAGACCTTTAAGATGATCGAGTCCAACCATACCTGTCTACTACTAAACCATGTCCCTAAGCACCTCGTCTGCCCATCTTTTAAATACCTCCAGGGACAGGGACTCGACCACTTCCCTGGGCAGCCTGTTCCAGTGCCTGATAACCCTGTCAGTGAAGAAATTTTTCCTAATATCCATTCTAAATCTTCTCTGGCACAACTTGAGGCTGTTTCCTCTTGTCCTGTTCCTGGTTACTTGGGAGAAAAGACCCACTTGGCTACCTCCTTGGAGGCAGTTGTAAAGGGCAATAAGGTCTCCCCTCAGCCTCCTCTTCTCCAGGCTAAACAACCCCACTTCCCTCAGTCATCTTCAGAAGTGTACAGCCTCTTAACATTACATGAGAGGGAGAAGATGCTTCTGGAACTCTTTTTCCTAGAAATCTGAGTGTAGGGAGTAATGAAAAATCACGGGTTTTCATCAGTGCAAGACAGGCATGTGGCCTCCCATTATTTAAGAAAGATAATGATCTTTCTGACTTACAAACAAGGTTATTAAAGTTTCAGATTGCAGCGATCTATTCATCGCAGTTGTAAATGTTACTCAGTATGTGAATGCTGGGGTTGTCTTAACCCTTGAGCCAGAGCTCGCTGGATTTGGTGACTAGACCTCCTGGACTTCACTAGGGTTTGTGTCCAGGTTCCACCACTTGTAGTGCACTTGCTAAAGCATAGCTGTCCTTTATTCCTGGAATAAGCTACATGATGTAGTTGTAGGACTAGATGAATTTGATGGTCTGCTTTCTTTGAGCATTTTTGTATAATCTGCTGCTTTAAACCACGCGTTTGAGAAACCTGGCAAAAACATCTTAAGAGACTTCTGGGCTTCTGTTTGGAAGCAACTGATTTCCAAAGCTAACGTGTTATGGATGAGAAGTGGTTTTAGTCTCAAGTTGTTACATCCTGGCAGCGAAGCTTCCTGAAAACAGAAGCTTTGATGTGGCAACTCTTAAGACCCACATTCCACAAAACGGACAGGGAGAGCTAAAGGAGTGGATTGAATTCCCAGAAGGAAATGCTGAAGACTCTGTGTGAATCTTACTGCTTTATATTGAGGCAGAACCAATCTGGATGTGCGGCCAAGTGCCTGGACAACCCAGCAATGCTACTGATCTGGGTTTCTGAATGCATGGCATTCAGAACAGGAATTTGGATTATTTAGTAGCCCTTATGGCAGCGCAGATTTGTTGCTAGTTGTGTAATGTTGCTCCACCGTGACAGCTGTACTTCAGTCGCGTTTCCAAGATGCTGAGGAGCAAAAGGTCAGGCATTTTCGTTCTAATACAGCCTTTTTTCCTTACATTTAAGGAAGGCCCAGCGCAACCTCCACAAGGAATTGTTCTTTGGAATCTGAGAAAGATCCTGTGCATAAAGGTGGAGAAAGCACTGACGAAAGCCAGGGGTAAGAAGATCTTTGTATGTTTGTTATCTAGGGGATTATAGAACCAACAGAAAGATGTTTGAATTGCTCATGCTTTTCTACTACCACAAAGAAAACGACTGGGAACATCCTAATAAATGCTGTAAGAAATTTTGAAACCTTACATTGCTACAGAAATACTAGGAATTGGCTTGAGAATTTCTTATGTGTAAGAGGGACAGCTTATTTATGAATCTGTCCGTAGTTTTCCTCTGAGTCGTTGATCACTGCTGTGGCAAGAATGGGAAACATAACCTGATTTTAAAAGGGAATGAAACAAGATTGGTGCTCAATAACATTTTGATTAAAAAGTATGTTCTGTGAGCATAGATTTGTCCTATGTAAAAGCAGGAAAAGAAAGCCATAAATGAAAAATTCAAATGAAAATTTTACTACAACTTTAAATAGCCATGCACATCACTGTTTTCCATACTATGCAAGTACACGTAGAGTAATGCGTGTGTTTGCAGCCTAAGGGCAATGTTTTTTCTGTAGAGACAGAATTTACTGAATTTGACCTTTTCTTAAGAAATAGTCTTTTTTTATATACAATAAGACAGTTCTGGTCTCCACAGGTGGAAATAACTACTGTATACTCCTATTGTCATTGGTGCCTTGGTAAGTTAGGCATATATGTCTGCCTATTTTTTCAAGAAAGTGAAAAAGGAGAACAAATAAGTTCCTTATGTACTTCAGGTAGGATTCCGTAATGAACCGGAGACAAAATTGGGGACTGGAGCTAGAAGTTTTCTTTTTTCAGTCCCTTAACCACTGAATCACGCTGATCATGTGTCAGAGGATATGCATTTGTGTTCTTCACTTGACAATGCTGACAATAGTTTCTATTAAATTGCAATTATTAACTATTAATACAAACTATTGTTTTCCTTCTGTTAATAAAAACCTGTTAGTGACAACAGTGTTGCAATGTGTGGTCCAGATTTGGAGAGGAGATCTTTGTTGATGGGTGTCAGTGTTCTAATCGGCTTACGGTCCTGATTTGGTTTGTGGCTTGTTTTCTTTTTGAGGCCAAACATGGTGATCCATGTGTGTGATGAAGCTAAAAATCTCAAAGAAGACTTTGTTTGTCCTCGAGACCTTTTGGTTTTGGAAATGAAATACTTTGCTGAATATCTGTCGGTGGATGCCCAGCGCTGGGAAGAGGTGGACATTTCAGTGCACTGTGACGTTCACATCTTTGACTGGTTGATAAGATATGTTAAAAGGAACACTAAAGATTCTGAAGCTAATGAAATGCCCGCTTTAGGTAAAAGAAAGCATGTAGATCATTTGTTGTAGGTTAATTATGTTCTGTACTAATGGAAGATTGATGTTTTTGATACAGTTCAGCCCCAGTCTCTTTGTTTCTGACTGTTGCACTGAACTTGTTGTTTGTTAGAAAAGTGTTGCAGCAGAGATCTTCTGGTCATTGTAACAGATGTCTCTGATTTGTCAACACTGAGAGTTTTGAGGAAATATCCTGATAGTTGCAGTGGTGAAAAAGCTCTCATATATTTTGGGATCTGGTGTTTTTCGTTAAGATTCTTCAGACCTCTTCTGAACAAGAAGAGAGTGGTAGTTTTAAGCTACTGATGACTGTTGGGTTTTGTTCTGTTTCCTCTCTGCTCCCCATTGGTACAATTGCAATATTTTCTAAAATGTCAATGCAATCTGATATAATAGTAGAAAAACTTTTGCCTTTATGAATTTGAGGCAAGTTTTTAATCTTTTTATGAACCTTTTCTACCATTTTTTAAAAAATATAAACAAACCAAGAGAATAGAGTTATAACTTGCAATGCAAAGGTTACGTTAAGCAAAATCTCAGCTGGGTATGATGCCTACAGATGGAAGTTAATCTTGTGTAATTGCTTGGTCATTGTATCCCTGTGAAGCCACGTTTTCCAGTTTTTATAAATTCCAGTTTGTTATAGTTGTACTCTGGCCACCTAAATGATAAACTAAAACTTTGTTTCTTGAAATGCAAAATGCTCTACATATTGGAAGATGGAATGATGGGTTGATTGGTAAAATAATGCTTAAAACATATACTAAATATGTAGAGGGAGGGATGTGAAACTGAATTATCAAAAGAATTATTGTAAAAACCCACTTTTTTTGTTGCCTTTTAGAACCATCAAATGTTATATCGATTCTTATTTCTTCTGAGTTTTTGAAGATGGATTCATTAGTAAGTATTAAGAAAGAAAGATTCTCTGCTATAAGGGCACAGTTAATTACCAGGGGTTTTACAGTGTCTAACTTGTTTGTTTTGCTTTGGCTGATACATAAAGAAATGATACACGAGAACACTTTGAAATTTTACCACCTTTCTTATTCAATGCAGTAATCTAATGTTTGCAGAATCTCAATGCAAGAAAACTTACAGAGTAAGTTATTTCTAAATGTGATAGTGGGATCTTGGAGTTGCCTTCTGATGACTGATCTAGAGTAACATCAGTATCTGATTTCTGGTAGCTTTTATCAAAAAAGATTATTAGATCAATTAATACCTTTGGTTTATATCCTTTTTACACAAATTACACTTCTGCAGTTTAGGATCTGGTTCTCCAGCTCTGTATAATGTCTACTGACTTGTTTGTTAAAATGTTTGTCAAAATTTCTGTCATTGGAGTGATGCACAATTAGATACACAGTAAGCGTAGCTGATTAAGTTGAGAACCAGGCAATACTACGTATAATGTGTACTGGCGGTTCTGGTTTTACAAGCAATTGGAAGGTACCACTTGTTGAAGATGAAACATTTGCGGAGCTGTTTTCTGATCTGTAGAAACCTTTTGGAGGAGAACACAAGCTAACTCAGTCTCATAATAATTCAGAGTCTCCTTTAGACAAATCTGAGACTTGTTTTGTATTTTTAAGTTAAACTGAAATTGTTTTTCAGAAAACCACACTTTAAAAAAAATAAAAATCTTGAAGCAATTCATACATCTTTTGAGACAGGTTTGCCTAGAATTCCTTAACTTTACTTTTAATGTTTCTGGTTTTCCTAGGTAGAAGAATGCATTCAGTATTGTCACAAAAATATGAATGCTATTGTGGCCACGCCATGTAACATGAATTGTATCAATGCTAATCTTGTCACGCACATTGCTGATCTCTTCACACACAATGAAGTGGAAGAGTTGAAGGACAAAAGGGACAAATTTAAGAGGTAACTTTTTGCCCTGTAGTACACTACTGAAGTGCTGTCGGGCTTTTGGATTGTTTTTCAGAACAGCTAAAGCACTGTGAGGTTTGAAGTGATATATAGATACAATTTATTTTCTCGTATAATGTATCTTTAACACAGAATATCATGAAGTGACTTCAGGATTTTATATTAAAATTATGAGCAAAAGAAAAGAGCTTTTTATAGGAAACGAGTGAAAGGAAAGGCCACTCTAGGGGTGTGATATGGACAATTTATTCATGAATTCTCACATGGGAGCCAGGATTAGGGTAAGGAGCATGTGATGGCATGCTCCTAATTCATAGGAGAATGGTTTGGCTTCAGCATCCTGTGAACTCTGATGCTTGGACATAGAATTTAGGATGGCTGGAAGGCTGAATAGTTGTGATGGAATACTATTTCATACATAAGGACTCCAGATCAGTCAGTATCAAGATAAGGACCAATTATTGGAGGGCAGGCTGACAGACAAGCAAGGTGAAAGTAAGAAAGGGATGAAGACTTGATAACTTTTAGAATTAAAGTTATGTGTAATTTCACAGGAGTATTCATTAATAAAAGGTCTTTTAGTCAAGGTAGAAGCTGGCAGTTTACATTGGCAAACAAAGAAAGTAACAGAGGGGAAAAAATTAAGGGATCTCTTTTCTCACATCTGTGCAAAAATAAGAGATGACCAGGTCAGGAACTAGTTACCCAAACAGATCAGTTTAAAGGAAAATCACATTAAAAGCTAGATTCTGAAAGAAATACGGTGGATTCGCGTATCATCAGAATATCTGTTAGTCTCACTACAGATAAAACAGTTTTCAATTTTTTCTAATGGGTAAGCAAGCTGTGTTGGTGTCATTAATAGTAAACTTTTCTGCAAGAAGATTGAGAGGCTGTTTGATCCAGAGTACCCAAATCCAGATTCTCGAGGAAATGCAGCGACATTATACAGGTATGGTCTTTTTTTATTACTACTTCAGCTGGAAGGACAAGTCCCCATGTTTTGAAGTCCTGCTCTTACTCCAGTACTTTCTTTTTCTTCTTTTTTTAATGTAGGTGTTGTTTATGTAAAAAGATGCTAACTAAAGAAACTGAAAGAAGAATTCCTTGTGTACCAGGAAAAATCAACATAGATCAACATGGGAATATTGTCTATGTTCATATAAGGTAGTGAATATATAAATATTAAAAATATTTCTTCAACTATATGATTTGGGGTAATTTTAAAAAATACTACATGTTTAAGAATTATCAGATACATTACAAAATTAAGTCATATGAAGAGCACTACAAAACATCTCAACTTCTTATAACTACAAAAAAAAAAGGGCAATTATGATGTTTTACTTCTGAAATTCATTTAGCAGTACTGCTGCTGAATAGAAATGGAAAAGCTACAGCAATGATTACTGGGAGGGGCTATTTTGGGTTGTACTGCCTTAAATAGAAAATGCTCATCTAACTCTTTCATGAAAGTGTTTTAAGATATGTGTCATTGGTGACAAATTAAATTAAAGGCTGCATTTCTACAAGGCTTGTTATCGAATGATAGATCCACCTCTGCCAGCAAAGAAATGCTGAAGTGTATTTTCAAGGCTGACTTTATACTGTCAAATCAAATACTCTGCCTGCTTGAAGACTACTATAAATAAACTTTGCCAGTTGTTTTTCTGTTCTAAAGTACTTGTCGGAGGAGGTTCCAGGACCTGGTCTGTATGTATGCCTCATTCATTTGGCACAAATGTTTAATTCAATTATGTCTGTTTGATCCATGTTTGTGAACAGCTGGATTCCCTTCTTAATGGAGATCAGTGCGTGATCATCTGCAGTTCCCTCCCTCCCCACATGCCCCCTTTAAGGAAGGTGGTGGGAAATTAATAGCAGGAGCCTTTCTCATCAGAAGTATTTTGTTCAGAACAACCAAAACACAGTTCAGTGTCAGCTCCCAAGGTAACACATATTTAGTGTTACCTCCTACTAGTAATTCCAAGGTGTGGATTAAGTTCTGCCTAACAGTCTAAATAGAACTGAATATTGCAACCCTGTCCTGATCTATTAGGATCATTGGTGATTAGCCACGTAAAATTCATTAATTGTATTATTTCACTTAAGCTGACTGTATGTAGCTGCTATGCAATTCTTAGCATGTAAATGTGCAGGGCTTTAAAGTTACTCAGAGGATTATATAGGTTCTAATTATTTGCCTTGTGGTACTTGTGACCGCTTTTCTCCGCAGAATCCACTTACTGTTCCTTAGGTGAAGTGATGCTGGCCACTAATGAATTCAGGCTTATGAGCTAATACAAGCCTGTCTTTAATGACTTAAAAATAGGTTTATATTTATTGGTCCTCTAGTGGGGCCTAGAATGAACTTCCTGTTGGAAGTACTGATCGCTTAGTCTGGATTAGACGTATATAGAATAACAAATGATTCAGGTCAGGGCTTAAAATTGTGAGAAAACAGTATCTGCTCTTTCTGAAGATAACGTGCACCAGTGCAGGCTGCATATTCTCTTTTGAATTCTGAAGAGGCGTGTGTGGTTTTATCACTGGGAAAAAGTGAAGGCTGTATTTTTAAGACCAGAAGTCTTGGATTCATCAAAAAGACACAGTCTTATATTTTCAAACTTCAGTTCTTAACTGAGTAATTGCTGTTGCATTGCAGATACATAGAAACATATTATGTTGGCTTTTAAAATAAATAAAATAGAATGGCGGTACTTCACTTCTGTTGTGCAACATATTACTTCAAAGACAGAAAACTGCAATATGACTGAACTTGTTTGTATGTGCATATTTCAATTTCTTCTAGTCTGTGTATTGGTTTTTCTTCTGTTTTATGGTTCTCCTGATCTCCAAAAGACTTGATATTTGTCTTAGCTTATAAATTTGCAGTATATGGAGCTTGAGATGAATCAAGCTGTAATTCTTTGTTATTAGTAAGTTTAGGATGTTGTGAAAGAATATAGGCTCTCCTGTCGTGGTCTGAATTTAATAGTGATTCTCCCACGTTGTATCCTTCCTGTTCTAAACTCTTCTGTAGGCTTTTCACCAGTGGAACGTGTGTTGTTTTGCTCCTTCTCCACCTCGCCTTTCTGGTGGCAGGATTTAAATAGAGTTCTGACTCTATGAAACCTGGCCTTTTGCTTTTTCAGAGACAAAACCTGGGAAGTCCACGAGTACTTAATTGGCCTTCATGAGGAATTGAAATCTTGGCGGGATGTTTATTGGCGTCTTTGGGGGACAGTCAATTGGTTGCCCTGCTCAAGATGTAACCAAGTTAGTATATTTTCACTTGTTTGTCTGTAGGTGGCTTGTTGTGGGTGACTTTTGGGGGGTGAGGCAGGGATTAAAGCAGTTTGGAAAATATATGGCAATAAAGCTTGGTATATGTTCTTTATAGTGCAAAATTTTGACGTCCGTGGGTAATCTTATCTCTCATCTCTCTTTTTATTCTAATGTAGTCTTTCCTGTGTACTGAATTCTCCCATTGCCAATACCATTCGCAGCCAGTTCTTTATCCAGGTGTAGCAAGTGCTCTGGGCTCAACTGGGGCAGGAATATATCCCTGTTGTAACCAAAAAGTACTTCGATTTGATCCTACGACCCTCCCAAAGGTACTTCAATACTAGCTCAGTTTTAAAAGAGCGTAATGTGTGGTGATGGGGTGATAGTGTGTTATGAAAATAGATCTTTTCCAATGTAAGGATTGTAAATTGTTGCAGTGTCCTAAGGCAGGCTAGGACCTTGGGACACGGAAGTTTAAAAGTTGAACTTTTGTTATTGTACTTACCAAAATCAGTTCTTCCCATTAACTCAAGCATTTGATCTTGTGTGTATATGTATTGCAGGGCTGCAAAGTGAGAGATCACATGGTTGATTTACCTTCAGGAAATGAAGATGGGGATGCTTTGCCATCTCAGGCCACTAAAATATTGAATGATCTGCTCCATCACAGGGATGTTATTGTTGTTCCTTTCACTAAGGATGAGAATAGGTAAGAACATTGTATTAGCCTTCAACACTTACCACGTTACGTTTGGTTTCTCTCCCATTTTAAAATGGGTGACGTAGGCCTTTTTAAACATAACTCTTTTTATTGTTTAGATGGAAATTGTGAAGAGAAGAACAAGTACTTTTTATGTTTCAAGCAGACATTTAGTCATTCAACCCCCATAAGCATTCACTCCTATCTTTATATTTTAATGTATTGTTATCAAAATACGATGTAGCTAAGTTGCAGGTCTGTCTTCTCTTGGTGTACATGATGAGTAAAGAGAGGCTGATGAAATATGAAATAGAATTTTTTTTCTTTTTCACATCTTTCTCTTTAAGTGATTCTGGTATTGGGCTCTGTGATGAAAAAGGCATTGAATGTGATGTGCTTGTAGAACCAAATACGCCGTGGGGTCCCAAAACTGGAGAAATCAATGCTGTGAGTGACTACTAATTTTTCTCGCCCCCTTCTTTCTGATAATGAAGATTCTTACAAGAGTACTTCAAAGAATTCATTAGACAACTTTTAATAAAAACAAAACCCATATGTTGCTGGAGGAGTAAGTGCACTGCTGAGCATTGCAGGATAGCATAGGCTAGCACAGGTACAAAATCTGGTTGGTGAAAAGGCAATACTTTTACCATATCTGCCAGAAATGTTTCTGTGTATCAGAGGCAATTCCCTGTATGTCTATGCTTTCGACCCCATTCTTAAACCAATGATACATCACGTGGCAAACATTTAAATAATTGCTGCCTTTGTTTTGTCTGCTGATGTATCTGGGTATGTCCACGTGACTTTTTACAAATGAAGAACAGTAACTTGGGTTGTGATGGGTTTGGGGGTTTTTTTTGGTTGATTTTTGGGGCTTTTTTTTTTTTTGGTTCCCCTCCCTGATGTGGAAGATTGTACTTTCCCAAACTAAGATGTGTGTATGTTACTATGCGTATGTCAGGTGAACAGAGATACTTTCTAAGCCAAGTTGAAGGAGACTGTTTATAATACTACCTCTGGTTTAAAGAGAGCTTTCATGCAAAGTTTGAACTTTTGAAGTTCTGCACCCATTGTGGAATTTCTGGTAACTCAGTGATCCTGATGGTAGCATGGTGCTGCTGATTCTGTGAGAACTTCAGTGTGTCAGAAGCTCTCCCGCAACAAATGCGGGAGGCTATTAAATTTAAACTCTGTAACAATCTGGTTCATAACTGCCCCCTCTATCCTGGACTGCTTTTTTGATTAAAATCAGCTGTAAATATTTGTAGCACTAAGGTTAGTCAAATTAAAACATTATTATGAATTCACTGCATTTAATCGATTGGGAGTTCACAGCCTATTTGCACACCTTAGTCATTCCACCAAAATTTCTGGTTAAAGATGAGAGCAGGCCTTCTAGGAGTTAACAGTGTAGATTGCTGTACTGTAACATACCACTCCTATTTTTAGAATTCCACTTGCTTTTTTTTTTTTTTTTAGCTTTTTATTACTAGTTCTTTAACGTATATGCCTTTCTCTTTTTGTTACTACAGTTTCTTTCTCTGAAGAACTGGACTTTACAGCTGGTTAGTAAAATATTTTGTTCATAATTCTAAATATTTGCTCTTCTGCACTGGTGGATATCTAGCTTTGATTTTTGTCTTATTTTCTAATTAATTTGGAGGAAAATATGTTTTTTACTTCTGTGTTAATTTGGTGGTTGCAGTATAGCAATGCTTTTTACAAGAAAGTATGAAGTATGTGTGAAGTACTACTTTGGCTTGAATAAACATTAAAAATTCCTTTTAAATGTTTTTCTAAATGACAAAAACAATAGACCAGCAATGCACGCATTGGTTCTTAACAGTTCATTAGGCTGACAGAAACGTGTATCATCAAAATCAGAGTTCTTGAGTGTCTGTCTCTTGGATGGCTTGTCTGAGATGCTTCCTGTCTTCTCTATGCTGCTGCTTCATTGCCGAAAGCTTTTATCAGGGTTGAGGACCTAGTCAAATGCAGAGGATGTGGAGTTGTTCTTCCAGCAGCATAGGATGTCACATGATTTTTTCTTTTTTTTTTTTTTTAAAATGTAAATGCTAGAGAGCAGTAATTTATTTCTGTCACTCTTGATGATTTATGTTGGAGTCTGATGTTCCTAGTGTGCTATAGTAAGACTGTTCCTGTTGCAAGTGTTTTGAACTTGCAGTTAATTTTGGGCTTCATCTTTTCTCATGGATTACTAGGCACTTGTTAACACTTTCTTCAAAAGATAGATGTGTATATTCAGACAATGTAAATGTCACATTCCTTAACATTTTCATTACCCTGTGCTGGTCGGTTAGGAGCTATTCACTGTGACCCCACCTATTGCAATATTGGAGCCAGTGGTTTATGATGTACAGGAGAGAGAAGGGGGGAAAAAAAAAAAAGTGGGTATTAGGGTGAGTTCACCAAAAAACCCCAACCAGGTATTCCAGACCAACTTGCAAAAAATTGTTAATGCAGTTAGCCCTGGTGTACTGAATCTATGTGTATTTGTAGTGCACTGCAATATGCATGCTTTGTGGTATTTAATTAGTGAGTATCTCAGCAATTTCAGGCAGTTTGCAAGATGCAGCAAGCCTCAATAGAATGGTAAGTAAACTTGTAGATTCCTATATTCTATCATTATGTAGCTAGCTCAGATATTTGCTACTATAACATAAATTTTCTTACTAATTAGTAAAATAATATAGCCGGCAATGCATGGGATACTGAACACTGAATCATACAATGATATATGCTGGAAGGGATCTCTGGTGGTCATCTTATATATTTCCTCCCACTCTCAAAGCAGGGCCAACTTAAAGTTAGATTCAACTTCAAAGCTATATCACTTTGCTCAGGGTCATATCCAGTCAAATCTCTGAAGATGGAGATTCTTCGGCTTCTTTGGGCAACCTCTTACAATGTTTGACCACTTGGAAGAAACATAAATAAAAATTCTTACCAAAACATTCTAAGGAAAGATTTGAAGTTTTTTTCTCAACGTTTGAGAATGATGTTCTTAGACCTAGCTGCGCACATAGTTACATCACTAAGATACGGAGCAAGATTTGAAGACAGCTCCTTCAGGATGGATTTAATGTATCTTTTCATAGGAATTAAGCCTCACTTACAATCTGTGGCACTCTCCTCCTCTTGATTAGAAACAGCAGTCATTGTTATCTGAAGAAGAGGAGTATACCACTGGCTCAGAGGTCACTGAGGATGAAGTGGGGGATGAAGAAGAAGTTTGCAGGAAACCAGGTACAACAAGTCATCCTCCCTGGAATTTAGAGATAGGGATTCAAGGCAGCAGAATTCTTCTGTAAGCAAACTTTAAACATTAGGAATTTTTAAAATAAGAAATAATGTTATTTTATCTCTAGTTTTTCAGTGGTTACATACAAATTACCCTGTTGCTTGGTGCCATTAAAAATCACTGGCAAACAAGGAAAGCTGCAACTATTCATGTCTGAAATGTCCTCAAAGTTGATCAAGGCTGTATTTTGCAGGAAAGACTATTAAAATATTTTATAAAGTTTCTTGTAGATAAACATTGGAAGAAAAGGTAGTAGCTACATGACTGTATATTTGCAGAATTTTTTTGTGGATACACAGTGAAACAACTAGTGAACATGGCTAGAATTGTGTCAGCATACAAAATAAACTCTGTATGATCCAAAAGGATTTTTGTTCTTTTTCCTGTTTTGTTGGGGTTTTTTTTAAATATGATAATGGGTTTAGGAACATGCAAAGCCAAAAAGCAGCATCTCCTTTCCACCCTACTAATGAACTATTTGAACAGAGGCAGTTCTTTGTTCTTTTTGTCTTGACTCAAAGGGATTGGAGTTCACCACTACATTTTTGAAAATTTTTGTAGTTTAACTTTAAAATTGTTTGGTCTGATATTGCTCAGAGCTCATTGATTGAATTAACATGGTCAAATATCTAGCTTGTATGTGCACTTGCTTTTAATTTTACAACAGAAAACTTGTGCAGTTGTGTGCAACCACTCTGCATTTTAAATATGTACTTGAGTTCCTGTATGTGTGTAATAGAAAAGTGTTACAATAATCTGTGTATATTAGCATGCCTTCAACACTAACAAAGGGAAAATAAATAGCCTGTTCATTTACTCTGCTTGTGAAGGAATAAAGGGAAAAAATTCTTTTGTAGCTGTGTAGAAATTCCAAATATCTGTGTTGGTATTAATAGATATTTCTTTAATTAGCAGGGAGAAAGGAGAGATTAAAGAAATCCTACAAGCACCCAAAGAAAGTGGTTTCTTCACCTAGTGTTCAGAAAAAGGAGAAGCCATCTGACAAGGTAAAATCAGAGCTGCGAAGCCTCTCTGGTTGGGTTGAATAATGTGGAATTCTCTTAAGTTTTGGTCTTGATCTTAAAACATACTTAATGTAGCTTTCTTTCTTTGACAGTCAAGTTCCCGAGATGCGTCTCCATTCATGTAAGTAATTTTCAAAGCCTTTGAGAACGTAGCGTAGTATATCCCTTTTTGTAAACTGTTACTGGTAACATTGTGTGCATCTTTCTTTTCTAACCAGTGTGAGTATGCAGCAGAACAAATGGGATGCCTCCAGGTCACTAAGATTCAACCAAGATGCTCAAAGAGAAGATGGTCCGTTCTTGCATGAGTTTAGCTTTTATAAAGTTAATATTACGCAAAGAAAATTTTTCTTTCATATAAGAAATGGCTAATTTCCTTAAATATAGCTACTTGGAAACCTAGGTTGAATTCAGTCTCAGATATAGCAATGGGGTTTTTGTGGTTTGTTTTGGTTTGGTGGGTTTTTTTGTGTAGCGGCTCCTCATTTGGAAGAGAACAGATTTCAACTATACTAATCATTAGTAATCAGCTGTATCCAAACCACACAGCAATCTCAGACTCTTCCAAACTGTACAAAAATATTCATACATCTAGGAACTCCTTCTGAAAATGTTACTTGGCTAATATATGCCAATCTAGTCCTAACCTTATCTATTCCACGAGACAAAAAATATTTGTGGTAGGAAAATGAAAAGAAAATCCACCCTATAAAACTATACATTGTAATCTTGCACACAGGTTGAAAAAATAAATGGGCAGCATCGGGCCTACTGTCTTGGAAAATATTGGAATGGCATTCAAAGTTTGCAGGAGAAAAAGAAAACATGCATTATAAGTGTATGTTAGTGTGGTTTATGTTCTTTATTTGGAATGTCAGCACATAACCTGCAGAGATTATAGTTGTGTCATCTGATGACTATCTAAGTGTGCAAATAATTTTTCCTGCATCCCTGTGTTATTTGTTGTCTGTGCAGATAAACAGAGATAAACATTCACTTCTATCACTTTCCCAGTCTTTCTGACTAAAACTACTCAGAATTATATTTGTTTGCTCCACCTTTTGTCCTCTCTTGAAATTTTTGTGCCTTTTTGCCGTTTTGAAAAGCTCTGCCTCAAAACCCTTCCCATAGATTTTCATCTCGGTGTATTGCCTCAGACTGATTGTGATACCTGCCAAGAACATTGCTGAAGCTACATTATGCATTAGGATCTAGGATCTTGGTTGTTTGAGATTTTTATAAGAGCTGAAAAGAAAGCTAATTTTATGAATAGAATATCACTAAGTGTGCGTCTAATTCTTCTCTCTTTGTATTCAGTAGCAAGGAAAACCTCTGCTCTAAGTATTTTTTCTTATTTCTGACAGACCAGAGAAGAATGTCTGAGATTACCGGGCACTTAATAAAAATGAGACTGGGAGATCTTGATCGAGTCAAGTCAAAAGACAGCAAAGAAGTAAGATTTGTCCTGTCTCAACGTAGTGTTTACAGAATTGAAGCGAGCCTTGGTAACAAAAATACATAACACGAATTAGCAGTGTCCCTGCTCACTGCAGGGGGGTTGGACTAGATGACCACTAGTGGTCCCTTCCAACCCTAAACATTCTATGATTCTATGATTCTATGAAAATACCATCTATTCAATACTGAAGCTAAAGAACTGAATTTTATCAATCTTTATTTTGTTCCAAGCATGATTTTTTGTGGAAAATAGTTCTAAATAATATTTGAAGTTCACTGCCTTTAAAAACTGGGCAAGAAAACCAGGATGGGTTTAAAAGGTTTCATTACTGGGTTGTGATAATGAAACAAAGTATGCCATAGGTTCTGCTGAATATTAGTGATTTTTATGAAAAGTCACTGATTAAATTGGAATAGTGTGAAAGCATGATTTTTTTTTTTTTTTTTTTTTTTTTTTTTTCTGGATTCCAGTATGCAGGAGGCATTTATTCTAGACTTGAAGCTCAGATAAAGGCCTCAGCGCAGGTCAGCGCACGACAAAACAATGCTGAGAAGAATGCCAGGTAAGATTTTAAAATAAAAGCAAAAAGCAGAACATGGATTTTGGGTGGGTGTTTTTTAATGAAAAACATACCTCATTTCATATGCTTTTTTTGAATCAGCATCCCTTCCAGCAGGTTATGATGTGAAAGCTTCCTTTGTCAAATTAAACTGGACCTAAGAGAATGAAACTATGAAGCTCTTGTACCCATGCTGGAACAACTGCTTTATAGCTTCTATGCTGAAAGGTTGACTGCTGCTCCAATATAATTTTTTGTAAAATTATGGATAACTGGAAAAGTGTTAGCGAAGATTCCTTAGCCTATTCTTTGGCCTCCTTCCAAAAACAAAACCAAAAAACCCCCCACACCAAAAGTCTATGTTATTGCATATTGGTCATCTTCACCTTAAATGGGTAAGACAGGAAAGAACTGAGAAGCTGGCAGAGCATGTGCAGTTGTGGAGCATAGAACTGGTCATAATCTGGCCAGCAGGTGAGCCTCTTGAGCTGAAGCTTATAGTGGAGTTCTTGACAAATCTTTAAGGGATGGACTGGAAGCTTCAAATATGTTGTCAGAGGAATTTCTCACAGGTCTTACTTCTGTCAAAAAAAAAATGCATGTGACTTTCTGTAGAATTACTGATTTCAGAAGAAGATATTTGGCATCACGCTTCTTTCAGCTGTGTACCTTTTGTATGAATATGTAATTTGTGGGTCCAGGTATCCTGGCAGAAACACAACTTTCTCAATAATAGATTTTGAGTGAGATTCCCCCACCCCAGAAGACACTTGAACATGAAAGTAATTTCAAACAAATGCTGTACTAGAGAGCTGAGTGGACAATAATTTAAAATTCTAGCAGTAATAACGTACATATGTTTCTTATGTGTTCTTAATCCAGGTCAAAATCCCGTTTTGGTCAAGGCCGTCCAACATAAGGACTCCTGAAAAACTTTTAGCCAGAATACATTACTGCTTCCTGAAACTGTACTGCACTCTGACATACAGAGAACGCACATCTCTGAAAGCTTTCCAGTCACTTATTTATTACTTTAAGCCTTGTAAATTATTTTGTGTGATAAATGAATGCAAATCCAATAAGGTCTGTACTTATTTTAATTGTAAATATACTCTTTCTTAACTTTAAATTTAATTGCTTTTTTCAGGCTATTGTGTTAAGTTGCATAGAAAATATTTTATAAATCTACGAAGTTAAATTATTAGACTAACTTTATTTATGGGGGAAGACAAATATGCCTTTTAGTATGCTAGAAATACTGAAAAGGGAAAAGCAAGACTACTGAATTCTGAGTACAGTCAGCAGCATTAACACAACTTGCCTAGAGTATTTATATTGTGCAGTATTTGATGGTACATTTTAGGTCAGTCCTCTGGGGATTTGCATTTAAAGTCTGTTGACAATACCTGTGACTTAGACTAGTTTAAGCAAAATTTTAATGCAGTTCTGAGGCTTCCTTCTGTATATCACACAACTCCCATTCATGTGAAGGTGGGTAGCAGGTAGAGACTAGACCTCCAAAGACGATGTAAATGCCATGATGATGCAGTATTGCATCTTGCACGTGAAATGCTTGCTTTACTTGTATGTGAAATTAATACTCATTCCCATTACGTATCTGTCTCCTCTTGCACAATGCTGTGTTTTGTTCCCTTCTAATATCCAGACCCTAGGATGCAAGGCAGTTCTGTCTCTTAATGATGCTAAATTCCAAGCAGATATGCTATTAATGCTGCATCTTTGAACGGAGATGTATCATGAGGAAGATTTGTGCATGTAGATCTCTTGGGTCTAGTTACTTTCTGAAACCTGCCTGAATAATACTGTTTAGAAGTCAGATGCACTTTGAAGTTCTGTATTTGGAGCAATAGAATACAAGTTTGTCTACATGTAAAATCCAGGGCTACCAAAATGAGATAACTTGCCTAGAAAATATGTCACATATTAGCAAAGAAAATGGCAATAATGGCAATAATAATGGCTGAATTCAAGTAAACACATTCTGACTTTTTGAAACAGGTAGAAAGAGCGCTCAGGGAAAGCTTATTCCAGGCCACGGCTGTACAATAAATTGTGAGTTTGGAATTAAGTCAGCAAGGTCCTGGGTGGGGAAGGTGGGGGTGGGGTAAGGAGAGGGAGATTATTGTTTAAATGCACTCTTCTCTCCATTTGGGCTTTTTTTGTTTGTCTTGTTTCTTGAGGATTTCCAATAGGCATTAGAAGACTAGGATAGCAATACTTGAAAATACTGGTGGAAGATTTTTACTGAAACAATTAAAAATGAATGTTGTTTATTGTGTGTTTTGTCCAATGTTATAGCAAATTTGGAGCCAAATGAAACCAACGGGCAAAACTGTGGATTTCAATGGCTTTGATTTTGGGCAGGAGTGGTACATTTGCAGAAGTGCTTTAATCTCTATCAAATAAATAAGGCTTCATTATGCCTTAGGCCCATTTGCAAATAGTAATGCAGTTTTAAGCACTTAGAGTAAATATTGGAAGACTGATTGTTGAAAGAGGAAGTATTATAAAATCCACCGGGTATGAAAATGCAGTAGAATAAGTGTTCTGCTACAGTTTTATGATTTCTGATAGAGGATTGTTCCAAATTCCCATGGTGAACTTTGCTATGAAAGTTGCAGGCTGCATGTATGTGTTTAGTTTTCATAGAAATACTGATTAGAAGAGAAGGGAAAATTCCACTGGTTTTGTTCTGTGGGAAAGTGCCAGTTCTACGTGCCAGTATTGTTTTATTCAAAAATATTTTTGAGCATATAAAAATAACAAACATGATATGCAGTCTATCTTTTTTCCCCTTGCCAACCACCTTGAATTTTTATCTTGTATTAATTTTGAAAATTTGTCTTGGTTTAATGGAAATAAATGTTATTGATTTAAGAAGTGTGTGAGTTTTTAATAGGTACTTATAAGAACTAAGTAAGTGCATAAATATTTGATGGTGTCAATCATGCGTGTGTATTTGTGGTTAAATTACAGCATCACGGTACAGGCTTTTTATCTGTCAAGAACAAGATATAGTTGAATGCGGACCTACTCCAACTCTACGAGAACTTAAAAGAATTTTTATCTGCATTGAGTTTTGAAGCTGGATTAAAATTTCATGAGTGAGCTGCCCTACAAGTGACCCAAGTATGCAAAATATCAAACTAAGCTATGTTAAAAACATGTTTAACTTTGCCTTCCACTGCCACAGTGCTGATCATACCATTTAAACAGTCTGTTAGAGCTATGAATAGGGTTAGTTTCCACGATTCTGTTTCTAGAAATCACTATATGGATGTCCTGTATATGTGCAGTTGGTATACTGAGAAGACTACAGTGTACATCCTGCTGTCACATGTGTGTTGAAACGAAGTTGCTGCACTGTGGAGCTGTGCCTGTTTGCTTGATGTCTAGAAACCTTGGAGAAAGGGCCAGAATTTTAAATTCAGCCACAGTCATGGCTCCAAGAGAAAAGGATGATGTGTTGGGAGAAATGTGGATGTACGGTTGCCCCAGTCTGTAAACACAGACCTATGAAGAGCATGGGCATATTTGATGTGACTGAGAAGATGCTTCTCTTTGCCAGAAGGGAATAGATTTGTATAAAAACTTTGTTTCCCGTTCTTGTTGAGTGTACGGACATACTGTATTGTATTGGGACACTGCCCTGGTGCATCAGATGCTTCCTTGAGCCATTATGTGAAGGTCCCTGCTGCCATTTAGGCACCTCCATCTCCACTCTAGGCACGTAAAACCTTAAGTAGTTATTTACATAGACAAATACTGAAGACATTCCTCCTGCAGCTGTTCTTAGTGAAATCTAATCTGTATGAACTGTACCACTGTGTTCTGAGTTTATTCTCTATTTCCTAATAATTAGGAAGTAAAGAAGGCTGCACTCAAGTTAAATTTATCTTACTGCAGGAATAGATTTACAGTTGAATCCCCTCTTGGCTGTATCTATAAATAAAACCAGCCAAAGGCTTTTTCAGGCTGTACCCGAGGTGACTGCACAGACTGGCTGTGTCCCTGAGGTTGCTGTCTCCTCCCATATTCAGGTGTCATGGTGGTGGAGGTTGATGGAACCATCAGCCAGTCTGAAGGCTACAGCAGCTGATACAGAGTTGCACAGGACTGCATGAGCTCCTCTACTTTGGGAATCACAAGGGCTTTGGATGCTAATTTGATAGGTGCTGCTGCTGCTGAAATTTGGGGCAGCATCCTCAGTTTGGGGAGGACTGTGTGCTCCCACACAGCCCTTAGTAGATACCCGTTGCTTGTCAGTCTGGTGTAGAAGTGTGTGCCCTGCTGTTTTCCATTGTTGTGCCCTGCATGCTCAGCAAGCAGTGCTGTCCTCCCTGACATAGTTGGATGCTGGGCTGATATATTCTGGTTAATGGTGTTCAGTGTCAGCTGAAAAAATTACTGTTTCCACCACCCCACCCTTGCTGGGTTGTATTCATGCCTGTTCTATAGTTCTAGAGTGATACAAATCATCTCACCTTAAATGCATGTCT